TGGTGTGTGTGCTGATCAGAGAAGGCTTCAAGAGCAACAGAGCTTCCCTTGATAAATTATGTGTTGAGTCCCATAATTTCAGAAGTAAACTTCCCTACTAGTATGGCACCAGATGAGTAAGGGTCACAGACAAGCACCCAGCACGGGAGGGTTGGAAGGAGAGGAAACTTGCCTGGCCCTGTGTTATTATCTGCTGCCTCTTGCCAACATTTTAGGCTGCTGTTTACATTCTTCCTTACGCTCCTACTACTGTCCCTGTAACTTGTTCCCGTCCATGCTGCAATTTTACATAGAGATCAAAAGCAAATTCCGATCCATATTTTCCTTACACCTGCAACATCTAATTTCCATAGGATTTTGTTTATCAAGGTTCCCCCACTAAAACTGGTCAGCTTGACCCAGCAAAAGGCTTGCAATCCACCGTATGTTCTGCATGATGTCAATGCACTGGCTTGCTGAAAAGCAACAGCTGTTAATGCTGTCTTTTAAGGAGAAGAGATTTCTATTCATTTCTATCTCCGGAATACTTTTTTCTTGAAGAAAATGGGATCTTCACATTACTCAAGCAGAGCATGCTATCCTGTCTATTGTAGGTGCTACAGGTATGTCTGAAGGGGTTTTTTGTTTTTCTTTGAATGCTGTCAAGCCTCAGAAAACCCACTAATGCCTTTTAGAAAGTTATTATCAGGTATTATTTTGTAGTTATGAACCTCTACAGCAGAGTTAAATTAGGTATAGAGCCCAAACAAATATGGCATTAAGCCCTCCCTGTCAGATACTCCTGTTTTCAGTCTGGAAACAAATCCCAACAACTGCAAGTAGGAAAACCCTACAATTTTCAGCTTATCTCAGTGTGGAATAAATTAGAAATAGGTTTCCAGCCTCAGGCACCACTGTTTCCACACATACAATTTTACTTTAAAACATTCTTGGCCTCTACTGACTTATGACTGAAGTGATACTGTTCCAAGTAACACAGCACACATCCATCCTACAGTCCAATGAACAATTAAACATTTAGGTGAGGGACACCACAAGGCTGTTGATACTATCCTCTAATTTTGTTTCTGCTCCTTCTTTCCAAGCTGAAGAAACAGTAATGATATTAGAAACTTACTCAGAAAGTTCAGAACTTGAACTTAAAGATATCCATACCTATTCAACATAATTCTCAATGGGAGACACCAAAACTCTTTTGTAATAGCTCCTCTAAGTCTGAACCCATCTGTTAGAACATAAAATACTCCACTTAGAGATAAAACAATGCTCAAAATAATAATGAAACATCCCAAAGGGCTACAAACTCAGGTTAATGAAAAGGTGATTGTCTAAACGAATTTATCTCCTTGCAAATACACGTATTGCATATTAACTCTGCATTTAGACATTTTCTAGAAGTTTTAGCTCAGCTGTCAGACAGCACTTTGGATTCTGTGTATCCTAAACCAGAGTGAGGTGGAGATCCTGGCCTCACTGAAGCAACTGGAAATTCTGCCATTGCCTTCAACTCAGACTGAAAGACTAAAACCATAAATGCCCAGACAGACAGTTTTCAGTACAGAAGAGAGGCACTGTGCCACAGCTTTCAGGATCTGCCTGCTGTAACACAGCTTGGCCTCACAGTCCCTGTGGATGGACCGGGTGTTGTGTCTCCTGCTAACACCACCCCATGCCCTACTGTAACGCAGGACTTTCGCTTCACCTCTTATTATTACACACTCGCACACACTCCACCTTTCTATTCTTATTTCATGATTTAATTTATAGGTGTTGATGAGATTTTGACTGCAGAAATATGACAAAGGCCAACCTATTTTAGAAAGTGGGTTAAGAAGGGAGATTTCAGGTCCTTAACTCTAGCAATGTTGAAAATACAGGGCAACTGGTGCGTCTGACTAATAACTATCAACAGTTAGGAAAAAATTGTGAACTCGGAGGGTGAAGCAGCTACCTACTCCCATGGCTTCAGAAGCAGCTGAATTTTTCAGTGCCTTCACATGCCACTTGTGAACACCAGCAATGCAATACAAGAGAGGTGGAAGAAACTACCCAGGTTCCACAGTGCTTTGAAGACTAAGGCAAGCAAAATTATTCTCATCTTTGCATGCAAACCTACAAAGGATATTAATCACATTATCATCCAGTTCAGCGTTTAAATCCAATCGCTGAAGTAGGTTATTCTATAGTCTACGGCAATAATGAATTCCAAAAGCTATGTATAACATTTAGTAAAACAGCTTTCTATTCTTTTAAAAATGTACCTGACAGTAATTTCATTAAGCATGTCCTTGCTGACATAATAAGCCTCAATAGAAAATTAAAGCCAGAGGGTTTAGCATTAAATAAATAGACCTATTTCCAACAGACCTATTTCCTATAGAGTATTCTCTTTTAAAAAAATATTAAAGGATGTATACATTATTATTTAGGTCCTTCCTGTCAGGAAGGTATTCTTTTAGCATCATGTTACCAGATATGATCTTAAACAAACTGAGTTTATTTTGGAGGAAATGGAAAAACAAAACAAAACAAAAAACAAATCACACCGAGGTTACCAGCCCCAGATCCTCAACTAAAAAAAAAAAAAAACAAAACAAAACCAAAAAACCTCAAAAGTCAAAGCAGATTTTGCCCCATTTCTTTTGCATTGCAGGTAAGACTAGGGTGGTGTGCACACTTGTACTTCAGGAGTGACCGTAACACAGGAAAGCGGAGGCCGAGGACCAGTGGTCGCGTTAGCAGTGCAAACGCCCTCAGCAAAGCCAGTGACAACGCGAGGGGCTCCTGGTCAGGACCCCCCCTGGAAACAGGATTCCTGCCCGCTGGAATGGCAGGGTTCAGCAAAAATCCCCCCCAGGATAGCAGAAAAGGCAGGGGGAAACCGATTATTTTGAAAGAAATCTGGACACACTCATCAAAGCAAAAAAGCGACAGCACGTGACTAGGCTTGATGAGCCAGGAGCCCCTCCAAATCAAGCTACGTGCCTGTGCTTCTCTTGAACGAGAGAATCTGGGACGTTATGTCAAAGTTTGCAGCAAGTGTACACACCGCTAACTCCTCACCTAGCCTTAGTCTCCCCTACACATAAAAATAAAATGCTATTTATCAAACTACAATTCTTTTTACTGTTATTTTATACAACATTCACATTCTCTATGTATATTAAAGTCAACTGATATTCCTTATTCCCAAAACTAGTTTATTCTTTGTCCAGCTGCTGGCACCTCAATATGCAGAAAAAAAGACTCCACACTATGACCGAAACATTTCCAGTAAACAGGAAGGATTTCATCTTTCTTCCTCATGGTCTATTTAAAATTTCTGCCTCACTACCCTAACGTTATGCCCCAACTTGTCAAAAAGGGCCACGATCACTACCCGTGCCTGAGAAAAGTGGGAAGAGAGTTTGTCAGCCAAATGTGCCTGTGGCCACCCAAGCAGTACCTTTACCAACTTCATTTTCATACATGTTTAGGCAACACTGGAAAGCAGTGCTTCAGCCCGTAACATCCCTCGAAACCATGTCGCCACACTCCTCACCGAGAGAGAAGCGGTGATAAGCTGCAGGGAGCTCTCTCCTTGGTGAGGGATTGCAGCTAGTTTGAGAGCAGTGACATGCAAGACGATCTGATGCAACTTTTTAACGTCTCTTTTCAGGCAAGACAGCTGCTGGAACCAGCGAGTATTTCCAACTCTCCTGCACTACCCTGCAGAAGGGCTTGTGGACACAGAGAAGGGAACTGCTGCACCTCTCAGCGCATCCAGCCTTACCCTACATTCAGGTGTGTGCCCTGCTCTGCCCCATTTATCTAGAGGAAGGGGCAAGGAAGATGCACTGATTTACCTAACCGGCCACCCAGTGAATTCTCACATGCCAGCATCCTTCCGAAGTGGCCCGCTTCTAGCTGTAACATCAGGCAAGTTCCACCAGGCACTTTCAAACGTTAGGCTACTCTAGCTGTGAAAGGGCTCACTTATGGTTGAGTGAAGTCAAAACCATCTCTTAAGAATTTTCAACCGAAATGTTTAACAAATTAAACAACAAATTAAACAACACTGGAAATTAATTTGGGATGTACTCCAGCAGCTGTTTGCTCCTGTGCAATTATCAGTGCTAGTACATTTCTCTTACTTAACCACTCAAGGCATACAGAGTGGATCATTACATTTAAGTATTTAGTATGAGAAAGGTTGTGTTTTTTCTTTTTTTTTTTTTTTTTTTCTTTAAATGAAACATCAATAAAGTTGCGTTAAGAATACTGCCTTTGTCTAAGTACCTGGACAATGCTGTCTGCAAAACAGAGTGCGTGGAAAGCCATTTTACAATTAACAACAGGGAAACGTACATGGCTCCTTTCATTCCCTAAGCAAAAAGCCCGCTCCCAATCCCCACGCCATAAAAATGCACATCCTGAAGAAAGCAGGCAAGCCAAAAAAAAGAGTTGATATTTTTTTCCAGTTACAATGCATTCAATCTCACAAGTAATAAAGAGATTGTCAGCTTAAAATACTTAAGTGAGCAATCTCTTTAAAAGAAAGGCTGAGAGGTGAACTACTGGGGCACTCCGGGGATGGCAACAGCACCTCAATTATTTCCAGCGAGACGTTCACACGGGGACGCTGTGCAGGGGCCACCGTGGTACCTCTGCTCCCACCCTCATCCACGCGGACTAAGCGTCCGGGGGGGGGTGGGAGGAAGGCCAGGCGGCCACCCGCGGGGGACACTCCCGCATCACGCGGGGGCAGCCCCCCACGCAGCCCGGCCGGGTTGCATAAGCCCCGCCGCAATGGAGCGCTCCCCGGGAGCGGCTCGCACCACCGCCGGGCTGTAACGGCGACGCCACGGAAGGGGGGAAGCTAAAGGCGCTGACGGTTTATCTCCTGGCAGGCGGCGGCGGCAGCCCCGGGGCGGGACGCTGGCGGTGATTTGGGAGGGGGGGCAGCCCCCCTCCCTCCCCCGAGCCGCGGCCCGCCCGGCCCCCCACCCGCCGGCACCCACCTGCTCCTCCGGGCGCCGCCGGTGCCGGCCGGTCGCTACCGCCGCTCCCCGCTCGCAGTCCCCGAGGGGCGGCGGCGGCGGCGGTGGCGGAGGCGGCAGCTCCGCCGCCGAGCCCATGGCCCCTCCGCGCCCCGCGGAGCCGCACGCTGCTGCCCGCCGCCGCTGCCGCCGGGCGGGGCGGGGCGGGGCGGGGCCCGGCCGGGCCGTCACGGGGCCCGGGGGGGCGGCCCCCGGCACACGGGGCCCGGGGAGGGGAGGGAGCCGCCGGCTGCTGGGTCCTACCTCCAGCCGGAGCCGCCGAGGGCCTTCGGCCGCAGAAACCGCTTGCTACTAATTAAAGCACACACCACCCCCACCCCCGACAGCCGCATTTCCCAAGCTTTTATTGGAACTATGAAACGCCAGGTGTTAATAAAGCGTTAATTTTCAACCTCGCTCCTTGTTGGTGTGTCTCTGGGGCTGGCAGCCTGAAACGTGGCACTCGCTGCTCTTCTCTGCAGAAAGAGAAAGCGCCGGCCTCGCTCTTCTGAAGCTGTCTGAACCTGGTTCTCTTTTCCTTAAACCGAGCTGGTGCGCTTGTGGATGGAGGAGATGCAACAGCAGACCCAGAAGATAAGACTCGGTGTCCAGCAGAGCCCGGGGTGGGCGGGTACGGAGGACTGCGATGTTTGGGGGTGCGCCTGGGTGGCCCAGTGCCACGGTCCCCCCGCAGAGGCCTCGCCACTGCCCGCCCCGGCACGGCACGGCACGGCACGGCACGGCACGGCACGGCACAGCGAGGCGTGGGCCTGAAAGCGCAGCCGGGTTTCGGTGCGTGGCATCCCCCAGCTGTGGCTGGGGCCACTGGTGGCACCTTCGTGCAGCTTTTCGCCTCACCGGGAAGCCAGTCCGTGCGGGGTGGGTGGGTCTGTTTGGCTCAGTTCGGTTTCCAACTGCCGGAGGAGCTAACAGGTTGCGTGATAGGAGGAATCTGTGGAAATCAGACATTCAGATGAACTTTATATGGATTTCCAGTGGCTGGGTGTGGGTCCTGCTGTTCTCTGAAGGGAATTCTACCCGCTCTTTGCTCTTCCTGTCATTATTGTTGGGCAACGAACAGCAACAGCCGTAGCAAACCTAAAACCATCACAAAGAAACACTCGGTGTGCTGTGGTATAGTCACACCTTCAGGCTACGAGCAAGTGTTCTTTAAAAGTGTGGAACAGTGCACAAGCCACACCAGCTGTCAGGCCTCTCGGTTTTCAGGGCCAGCTGGGACGGGGCTGCTCCGGCCGCCCTGCCACGCTTGGCTGCGGTTTCTCATCCTGATGGAGCGGCTGGCCCCGGCTGCTCCCCGGGGTGCCGGGCCACCAAAAGCAGCTTGTCCTGATCACTCGACTAATTGCTTGCCCAGAGCTCTGGTCCGTGACCCGTTTGTTAGTAGCGTTTCGCAGAAACAGGGACAGACTTGGAGGAATATTAAGCTGTTGACACAGTGTGCTCAGAAACCACTGCGATCCTGCTGGCATGGGGAGATACTGGACACCAGGAAAATTCCTACGGACTTCACCACCAAGGGCCGTAGTGATATACTTCTAAGCACGATGTGACTGCTTGGCAGCAGCTCTGTAAAACATCCCTGAGGTTCTCTGCTCCTCGGGTGATTTGTGAAGAAATGAAGTGTCACACATGGTACTGACATTCATAAACAGTCTTCGGAAAAAAGATCTTAAATAAAGCATTGATTAGGTGTCCCTTTCAGTGAGCTTTTTAGTACACTTAAATCCATAAACCTTTGATGGTTTGTGGATCACAAAGACATGTATTAGATTTTTTTTTTTTTTTTTTTTTTCAGAAAAAGTTGGTGCTGAGGCCACTGCTGTTTCTTGTAGCACAGCCTCTGATCCCTGCTGCCTCTCGGGGACCAGCGGCTATTGTGCCAGGAGTACTGAAACATATGCTGGCTGGCTTGGTGCTACGGTTTCCTCCTCATCTATCTGTAGTCCTACTGGTTGGATGCTGATCTCCCCACTGAGGAAGATTGTTCCATACCTTCTGCAGCGAAGAAAAGCTCATCACATTTCCAGAAAAGCCGCACTCCTCCCCACTGCAGCTCTCAGCCTTTGACTGCCTCTTCACGCCCTGAGCAACAGCCAGAAGCTCCGTGCACAGGAACTGCCCCCAGCTCCCTGGCTCTCCCTGCGTGGGGCAGCACCTCTGGGGGCAATAGCCCCAGTGTCCTGGGGAAGAACAGGGACTCAGAAGCCCTCACTGAGATTTCTTGGGATGCAGTCACCATTACAGCCTGTGCAACTTCAGTTAACTCAAAGAAACCGTTCCCCTCCAAAGCAAACACTCATAGTAAAGGCAATGCCACAATCGCATCACAATCTCTAGATCTTATAATCAACTTTCCCAGGCGTCTGTGCTCTGAGCACTGGTGCCTGGGTCTGTGAAAGTAGCTGAGCTGCTGCAAAACTGCTCTGAGTGACTGACGTTTTGACTTTGTCTCACTTAAATCAGGATTCTTTCTAAATATTCACAAGTGTGTGGAAGTTTCATAAAGATCTAATCATAAGAACAAGCTGAAGGATCTATGTCACCAAAAGACATCCCCACAACTCAGCAACTTTCCTTCTGAGATCACTGTCTGAGTTGTTTCCCACCCCCAAGCCCTCTGGACATGCCTGACCTTCTGCTGATGGTGTCTTCTCCCAGTATCAATAATCTCAGAAAATGCCAGGATAAATCCCAGCATGACTTAATAATCGGTAAAAAAGCCATCCACCAAAAGAAATCACACAGATGCAAGTTAAAGGGCAGATTCTGCAAAATAATTGTTTCTCATGGGGCAACTTGAGGTCGATTTGTAATACAGGTATTACATGTAGACAAAATATCTCCCAGGGGGTAAAGAGGGGCCCTCTTGCACAACTCTGTAATTTGGGGGTCACTAAAGAGAGTCAAAACCTCATGATAAAAATCTGTAACTAAAGGGTTTTCTGGAAAAACAGGTGCTTGCGGTAGGAGGAAGACAGAATGCTGCTGCTTTGCTCGAGCTACAACAGGCAGAGAGCACTGGCCTTTCTGAAACACCGCTCTAGACCGCAAAACATAGAAACAGCTGGAGTGAGTAAGACTAAAACTCCCTGTAGATGGGTATCTACTCTCTAGCCGTAGCCAATAGTAGGTGTCGGGGAAAGAGTAACAGATGCTGCAGCGATACTTCTTGAGAGTATTCTTTTGGCTTCCAGTAATCTGAGGTTCAAAGACTTCTAAAACCCAGGCGCCGAGTTGGACAGTGAGGACAGTCTTTCAGTGGGGGGATCAAAGGCAGCCGGGGGAAGGCACGCAACCACGGGGATCACATGCAGCCAAGTCATACAGAGTGCTTAAATTGCTCTTGTCGCCCAGGGGAATGTATCTCTTTCATCCTGCACTTTTTTTTTTTTTTTTCCGTGTCCCTGGCATTCGCTAGTGCCTCTTTAGGCTGCTGTCATGGCTGGGGCAGTGACCCCCCCCCTTTCCAGGGATGTCAGCTGCTCCTGCCCTCCGGACATCCCCATCCCAGCTACCTGCCTGAGGGCATGAAGGCAAAGAAGAATCCTGCCAGAGTGCAGGCTGGGCTTTGATGATACGATAAAACCAGTTTTAGGCCATTTAATTCCAGAATGAAAAGGTCACAGCCGTGTAACACAGAGACACCTTGCTGCTTCAAAGAGGTCAAAAATTTTTGCTTGTTTAGCACTGTGTATACATTTCTTATGCCAGAGCAGGTTCTGTGTGTCCTCTCTTTCAGCTGGCAGAAAGCTGGTGTGGACACCTACCACCAGCCTAAAATTGGGCCTCGTATACTAGCTGATCCAACAGATACATGAGTGTGTGCCTGCATCTGCTCCAGACCAAGCTGAGCATTTGCGGTTATTCTCAACACAAAACTTGCCCTTGTGGGGACGCAGAAAGTACAGGAACAAGATACAATGGCTGTGCTGAGTTCTTATGTGCTTGCTACCTGCCTTTTCCTATCAGTGGCAACTCAGCTAACTTCCTCCAAGTATGTGGTTAAGGACTTCAGGGGAAAAAAAAAAAAAAAAATAAAAAAAGACAATTTTTTTTCTTTATATGCGTCTAACAGATGCAACTGACTTCAGTATGAGATTTATTCAGGTTGCTGACTGCACCGTTTAATCCTGAGCCTTTCCAAACTCCAGAGTTCATCTAAATATTAAAAGGCTTGGAAAAAGCAGAGGTTCTTTAAACCTCTGGTAATGGAAACTTTTGTCATAACTGGGAAGAGGTCAATGTGCTTTTGTACAGTATAATGGATTTACTGATGAATGGAACATTTCAAACCCTCTGATGGGTTTTATCTACTTTATATTCCAGATGTTAATATAAGTAAATTCTCTAAACTCTCAGACAATTTGTCCAGTATGACTGTTCAGCTTATGGTGGTCATTGGAGCTCTTAGATGGATTTTTGAAGTAAAGCTGTTAAATTCTGTAATTTCCTTAGATCCTTCAAGCATATTAAGAAATACAAGAAATGGCTTTTCCAACACAGGGTACAAAGTGAACTGGGAGAAATTGGAATTCAAAACATGAAAATATATTAGAGTATACTGAATAAAAATGAAATGAAACAATTAATTTGGTTCCTTTTTTCTTCCATTTATAATGACAAAAGGACACTGAAGATCAGGCCCCATTAACAATCCCTATTCTGCAGTAGTTGATATATATATATATATCTCATGCAATCTCATTTAAGGGCCAAAGCAATATATACATGGGCTCATATATACAGGCTCAGAAAGAGAAAAACAAAACAGTAATGGAGAAGTTCTATTACAAAAGGCCACCTGGAGCACTCCCAGGCATTGGAGGGTGGTTTTCTGCAGTACCTTTTCTAATACATTCGCCAGTCTGATATAATATTTTATCTATCTATCTATCTATCTATCTATCTATCTATCTATCTATCTATCTATCTATCTATCTATCTATCTATCTATCTATCTATCTATCTATCTATCTATCTAATATCTCAAATGAATTCTACCATTTCCCTTGGGTATTATTTCACAATACACTAAAATCTGACAAAAGGCTTCCCCCCGGCTACCAAGTCTGAATTTTCCCTTTTTAAATTTCATTCTATTATTAAGTTAGGTT